TCTCTCTCTTGCTCTCCTTTTTTCACACTCACAAATATTGGCAAGTACTGAAATACTTAAATACAAGGAAAACAAAGCCCACCACAGTACACACACACCCTCTCCAGGTTTGCAGTAATGGTTCACGCATTGCTGAGTTTTCACTGAGGATCATGGCGGCACAAAAGCGGCCCCTCTCTTCCTGGGCCCTTTGTTCCCCCAGCACCAGTGTGACCTCTCCGGCTGCCTGGCCTTAAAACAAACACGGAGAGCCTCCTCTCCCATCACACACCGTAAACAAGAACACTTTTTCAATGGCCGTTATCTACATTCTAACCCCACAAGAAAAAATAGACCCAATCCAGACACTATCTGTCAGGTTCAAGGCCTTCGCTGATATAAACAGCCTTGTGTGGGAGTCACAGATTCATTGTTGAAAAGTGTGGAGTTATGTAGAGAACTAATTTGAAAGGCCCTATCGTCATCAGAATTACAGATTGTTGTTTTTTTGTCTGCGTGTTAGCTTTAAGGCTATTTATAATACTCTTGATGAGTTTGACAAGTTTCACTTATAGCAGATTATAGCAGATATATGCATCTGCAGGTTTTTTTTCTTTTCCTTCGCAGAAAATTGACCAAAAATATTGATAACTCATCCTGCACAGTTATTTTATTTTATTTAATTTTTAATGGAATGTGCTTCTCCTGCCAAAACTTCATTTTTCATTCATTTTATTTTTTTTATTTTTTTAATGGAATATGTTTCTCCTGCCAAAACTTCTGTTTTCAACAGTTTTATTTTATTTTATTTTATTTTATTTTTAATGGAATGTGATTGTATTGCCAAAACTTCCTTTTTCATCTATTTTTTTTTTATTAATTTTTTTTTTATTCAATTTTATTTTATTTCAAAACTTCCTTTTTAAACAGGCACTTTGACACAGTTTTCTGAGACTGCTTAAAGCTATATATAGCATAATATGTCTTATTATTATGTCCAACAGGTGAAAATCATATAATTTCCTGTCAGATTACTTTACATTAGAAAAAAAAAAAATTTTGATAATATATTATTTTATTTACCCATTTATTGTTTATCAAACAGGTTCTTCAGCATATACATTACCTCTGTGCACTTTTCTGCGGCATGAAACAGGTAAAAGTTTGCCCTCCCATTCCTTTTTGCGCATGAATGGAAGATGGCTGATTTGATTTACATGGATCATTTCCAGGCTATAGCCACTAGGCAGCGACCTCCTTTCAACTGTTTGAAGCCTTACCTAGTCGCCCCTCCCCCACTGCTCGCTCAGGTGATGCGCACCGCACAGAAGAGAGAGAGAGAGAGAGAGAACAGAGCAGTTATTTTCCACCGTCTGTTCCGCCGGGTTTCATTACTGTGGCAGAGAGGCACCTGGGAAAGACCTGCGGCAGGCTGTCTGATTCTCAACATGGATGTGGAATACGCGCTCACCTTTCTGTTTCGGCCACTAGGAATAGACGGAAAGGAGATGAAAGGAAGGGGGAAAGATGGATAGCAGGCGGATTACCTGTGATCAGGGAATGTTGAAAAGGTGTGTGAGCCAGCGGAGGTGTCGTTCAGTCCAGATGGATGCGATTGCTGAGCGTTCGGCACAACAGAAACCTTTTCTGTCTGAAATAATTGAAAGCTTGAATCATCTTTCGCCACGTTCCAGTGAAATGGCTCCAGTGGACAGTGTGGCTTTGGGTTTGCAGGTGTGTCTGCAGTTTTCCCCCGAGCGCTGGGAACACACTCCGCATATACGATGAGAGGATTGTAAAAGATTGTGACAGAGCACACTCATACCTGTCTAAAGAGCTAAACTGCTCAGAAGAACATGTGTATGTGTGCGCGCGCACAACTCCAGGCTATGGAATGTGTGAACCTCTGCCAGTTAGCGGAGAGAGTTTTAGTTCGTCCAAACTGGACTGACACAAGGTATTGTTTCTGTAATTATGTTAAATGTTTGTTTGCTAATGTATTCCACATTTAAAATATTCTGCCTGTCTAGCTTGTTGCTCAGTTCTAGGTAAGGATGACTTTCAGTACCATCTTGAAGTGCATTATGCCTTATTCTCAAAGGACAGCTACCAGAATGATAGGTGGAGTTGCTTGAGAATACGAAACAGCACAGAGAGAGAGAGAGGGAGGGGACCAAGGAGAAGTCAGGGCGAGAGAGAGAAGAGAGGTGGCCTCTTTGTCTCTAGGGTGAGCACAATGGACGGTTCACTGCAGGAATTATACGGCAGGACAGCTGCCAGAATGACATACTGAAATGGCAGCCAATAGAATTGAAATGGGGGCAGATCTACATAGGGAAGGGTATTTGATTGGTATAGATATAAAAGAAAGTTACACATATACGTGTTACACATATATACCAATAGTATTGGTATGTTTTAATCAAACTTTTAAACATACTTTGTAGTTTACTATAAAAATATTAAAAATTGAAAACTTAAAAGTAAGAACCTGCAGGAGTTCATTTCACTTTTTAATCAATTTGAATTTAATTACTGATGAAGATTGAATTGTGTGATCTAAAAAATGCTAAAAATGTCAAATTGATGACAAATTAGATGGATGAAAGCAAATATATTGTGGTCTTTTTTTTTTATTTTTTACTTTTGTACTCTCTCACACACAAAATTGAACATTGAAAATTTTAAAACCAAGTTAGTTCATTCCAATTTTTAATCAATTTGAATTCAATTACAGATGAAAATTACATTTTATGATCTGAAAATGCTAAAAGTTGATGACAAGTTAGATGGATGAAAACAAAGATATTACATTTTATATTAATGAAAACTTTATACTGTTCTCTTTTTTTATCTTTTAAATCAGTGTTTCAACCTGCAGGAGTTCATTCAAGGGTTTAATCAATTTGTATTTTAACATTTAACATTTAACAAATTTTATGATCTGAAAATGCTAAAAATGTGGGGTAAAAGAAGTTTGATGGATGAAAACAAAGATCTTATAATCTTAAAAACATTTATGCTCCTCTGTGTTTTTTTTTTTTGTGTGTGTTTTTTTTTTAACTTTTTACTCCCACGCACACAAGTGCACAAAGCCATACAATATCTTGGTCACATCTGTCAGACCCATGTGACCTTAGAGGCAGTTCATTTGATGGATTGCTTTGAGTGCCCATCACTTGCTTTTCTATCACTCTCTCTCTCACACACACTCACACACAAAGGCAAAATATCTGCTTGACAGAATTCAAAACATGCATGTTCCTTTTTCCAAAATGGTTTTCAAACCTCAGCATTTTCTATTTCTATTTGTGTCATGAGAGAATCTATGCAATTACAGTAAAATTAGAACATACTTCCAGAACAAACCATACTGACTTTCTGTAAAAAACAATCTCAAGCATTCACTCAAGTATTAAAGCTATGCCACTCGGAATGTGGATGGTTAGCATATGCTGTCGAAAAACACAAAACACAAGAACAGGAAAATGTGATGTAAAGAGTTTAGTGTTTTGTGTGGGCTTGAAGTCAAACCACTCAGCAGTTCACTATTATTAATATTCAGCCCTGACCTCTGTATTCATCCTCTTGATTCTTTTCCCAGTCCTCCCACTTCTTTCTTTTTCTTCAGAACACTCCCACCATTCAAACTCTGAATGATTGGCCACAGCTTTTTAGCTCCGATACCAAAATTCAGGGCTGCCTTTCGTACCCGCGCAAGACATAGTGAAGTGCACTTACTACGGGCTTAAAGATGGAATAGATGGCTGTGTGAGAGCGAAAAGGAATAGATGTGGGAGGAGGAGGGAACAGAGGAGAAAAAAGGCGAGATAAAGTTGCTTTACGTCCAAGGTATATTCGGACCACACAAAGAGCCTCTCATGTCTTACTTTCAACCATTCCCTTTATGTCTCTCTTTTGCTTTCTCTCGCTCGCCTTCTCCTTTTCATTCAAGGAGGGGGGGGTCTTCACCCTCGGCCTGAAGTTGCTCCTAAATAATCCCGCTGGTCACACCTCTTAGTTAGAAAGCTTTTTGTCCCACGCCCCTCACCCCCGCCATACCACCTCACCCCACTCTTTGGTATTTAGCCCGGGTCAGTGCATTTCGACCATCCCTTGTACCCGAGATGGTTCCCCTTTTAATTTGCACCTGTTGTGCAGTTGTCCGGGGGAGCAAATGCAGCCCCACGGATCAGACAAAGATCATATTATGATCAGATACGTGCGGCTAATCTTCACGTCCTCTGGCGAGAGCCGCCAAAGGGAAGCGGTCAGCCTTTTTTGCATGGGAACCTGTGGAAAAAAGACGTCATTGGTATTTTTATTTTTTTTAAGTGAATGGGCTCCTAGGGAGAGATTAGGGGTAGTTAAGGTACGAAGGAGGGAATGGAGCGTTCCACAGCCCAGACGAGTCCATTTGATGCCAACGAACTGAGAAATAGAGCACGGATGGAAGGGAAAGTTGTTCGGGAGAGGGAGAAAATTGTCCCGAAATCAGCAATTAGGTTTTTAATCTAACATTAGAGAAACTTCCCACTGGTTCTCACTGCTTTGGCAGCGTGCCTCTGAGATAAGGTGCTCCGAGAGCCTGGGGAGATGTATGCTGTATTAGGCAAGGAAAGAACTTCAAATGAACCTGAACGTTAAACTGCTGTTCCCATGATGTAAGCTTCATAGTTTATTAGACCCTCACCACCTCTCACCACCAGAGATGTGCAGGTTTTTGGTTTGCTTTATCGTGTTCTCTCTTGTTGTATATCAAGCAGCAATCTGGTCTAGTGAGATTTCCATTATCTTGATAACTACAAATTGTTATTTGTTACTGTTTACATACTGTACATATATATATATAATCATGTATATTATTACTGGTTAAGAAAAGGTTATCAACACCTGTCTTTTACTTCTTGCCAGGCTATGTACATTTTACACAAATGCCTACATAGACAACTAAGACTGTACAAACTCTTGAGATGAACTTAAACTGAAATAATAACACCTGGACTATGTTCTGTCCTCAGTGCTGAGTTATGAAAACGTGGTGGATGCCAGTTCAGGGTCCGATGAGGAGGACAGACTCCTGGGTTCTGAGGGTGAAGGCAGTCCAGCAGGTGTGCCGAGTCTGGAGGCCTCACCCCGGGTAGCCGAAGCCCTGCTCTCCTGCCGGGGGGATGAAGAAAATGAAAGCCAGGATGGGGCAGGAGCCCATTTCTGGCGCCACGGAGACCTGAATGGTTCAAGTAAGAGAATATATTTTTTTTTCATCAACCTTGCCGTTGTCATATCACCAGTACAGAGCAGCTATATTCATTAAGCCAACACCTAGCAGCTGTTTGGCATTTCTGATGTAATGGCAACTTTTAGACTGTTAGCTCACATTTCTACTTCGGTTCCTTACTTTTGTCACAAAGTAGGTTACACCTAATCTTCAGTGCCTCATCACTGTCTCCACACCCCTTTCTTCTGGCTTCGTTTTGACTCACCCACCCAAAACCAAAAGCGATCAAGATCACGGACAAGACCCAAGCTAGTGAGGCTTTAAAGACAAATTCTCTTAATTAGGATCGCAGAGCTATCATTTAGCATGAGCGTGCCCTGCTGAAGACTCATTAAAGGCCTTAAATGAAATTTTTAGCATTATGATGGCCATTTACATACATAATAGGCCCACAATTCCCTGGGCCTGGCTGACAGTTACAGAGTGAAGGGAGAACTCATGCGAGTCGCCCGGTTGAAAAAAATTTAAAAAAGAAAGAAAAAACCCAGACCCCCAGCAATCAGTCTCATCTAATGACTAAACCATATGCATCACTTAACTTCAGAGAGTGTCACAGTCTCAGAACTAAACAGGGTCTTCAGGGATGTGTCATTCGCTTGAACAGTGTTTTGTTTAGTTGATGTTCACACCATGATATGCTAGATTAATAAATGTCATCTGAGTTTATTTGAAGGCCACGCCTCTGGCAGCGTAGCATTTTTTTTTTCCATTTTAGTGATTAAATATGAAGGAATGAGTCTGCTTGCTGGGAAAAAAAATATTGTGGTATGTGCTAGTAAAAGCAACATCTTAAAAGAGGCTGCATGAATCATCTTGTGTGGTTCTTCCTCTTTTTATCAGTGTGCTGTGGTTGCTAGAGAAGATGTACCTCAAGTCCCGTGTATATGTTTTGCTGAGACAGTGGGATTCGAAAGATGACTTTTGGAAGTGCTTCTAATTTGCATTTTTCTGATTTATAAAAAAAGTCATGAAGAAATTCATTCTACTATCAGTTTGATTGAAAAGCATTTATTTATTATTGTAAAAACAATAATATTGGGAAAATATTTACTAAATAACTGTTTTCTATTGTAATAATGACATTAGATGACAGTGATGACAAAGCTGAATTTTCAGTAGTCATTACTCCAGTCTTCAGTGTCACAGGACCCTTCAGAAATCATTCTAATATGCTTATTTGGTGCTCAAGAAATATTTCATATCATTGTCAATGTTGAAAATGGCTTAATATTTTGGTGGCAATCATGATACATTTCATTTTTATTTCTCAGGATTATTTAATAGAACGTTCAAAAGGAAAGATTTTAAATGTCTATCTTGTCACTTTTAATCAATTTAATGTCCTTTCTGAATCCAAGTATAAATGTCTTTCTTTCTTTCACAATTTTTTTTTATTAAATATATCTAGTATTAAATATATCTTATATAAAGTGTAGTGCCTGTTTACATCAGAACTTTTCTTTGTTTTACATTTCTCACAAGTCCTAAATCTTTGTTTGTTTCCAGGTTTAAATGAAAAAAAATAAATACAAATCCCAGACCTTCAATGTGGTATCTAACATCTGGACCCTACTGTATTTATTACTAGACACAAAAGAACATGTTGAAAATAAATGATGCTAAGTTGTTACTTTCATTATTACACAATTTCTTCCATCTCACAATGTAATGACATAAATCACAAAAACTTTTTTTGCTGGATCTCAGTAGGATATGAATGTTCTTGTTTTGTTGCACTTTATAGCAGTATCAGCACTGTAGCTTCAGTATTTGCAAGCATACTTACAGGCTCATTTAAAATAAGTCCACATCAAATTGACTATTGAAACAAACTATAATTTAATTGTTCACCTAAATAAATATGGAACTTCTGTGTTGCAGTGGTTAAAATCACACCATTACCTCAGGGAGCCTGCAGCTACCACAAGCAGAACTGAGACTCTAATGTAGTTGCCATGTTGTCACTCGAGGAAACTGTATTTCTCTGTCATTCATGCACAGTTAATTGATTTACTCAAAATTATTCTCTGATACCACTTCAACAGAGTTTTTAGTGTGCCACACATGATGTTCGATCCTTCATATGACCTTTCAAATATCCCCATGCTAATACAGCTAATCGCTAACCCTCCCAAAGAAGTTTTAAGCCAATGTACCTCAAAGGAAAGCACAATGCTTAGAACTCAGGAGGGTATTTTCACTGGCTCCAGGCCTTGCACTTTTATCTGCACAGCGCAGAAGGAGACAATTTCATTAGGAAGGGGTTTCGTGAAGGCAAGCCCCCTATTAGCAAACGCCTTGTTTCTTTAAAACTTTTAAAGTCTATTAAAGCTCTTGATGCTCAAAACATCCCTTCAAGAAGCATTGCCCTCACAATGATTTCAAACTCTGCTTTGAAAGACATCTCTTAAATGTGGTGAAAAGTGAGAGAATTCATCGACTTTCAGAAGCTCTCTCGGTTGTCATACTTAGATAATGAGGAAGGAAGTGGAAGGCAGTTTTGAAATTAAACAGTACTAATGCAGTGGAAGCGTGTGTGTGTGTGTCAGGAGTCTTGAGTACCCTTGTTTTCTCCCTGCGTTGTGGTGTAAGAGGTGCTGTATATCCTCCTTTTGAGGGGGAAGCTTATGATACTTGTGACTGCCGGTACGAAGTCACATGAGGGGGAGGAGGAGGAACAAACACAATAGCTGCAGTATATGAGCAAACTCCTCTCAGACCACCCTCCTCTCCTCCCTAAATACCTTGACATGATTTCCAAAGCCCCGCTTACAGAGAAGCATATCATTCTCTGAGCTGCTGTCAACGTGTTTGAGATATAACTCTTCCTGATATGTAGGGTGTTCTCTATCGTTGTGATTTTTTTTTTAATTTGATGTGATGTCACGTTTATCTCCTTTAATTACAATTTAACATACATTAAACATATTAATTAAAATTGAACTGATAATGGCAGACGATTTTCTGCTGAATTGTTTTTGTTCTAGTTATGATGATCGTTAAATAAAGTATTTTCTCTCATTACAGAGGAGCGAAAAGCGGAGTACAACTCCATGAGCCCTGACATCTCTCTCCATGGAATTGGAAATGGTACAGGTGAGATAACTTCACAATATATTGAAATATTCATGCAAAGATACATAATAAATAACTGTATTTAAAGAGTTGGTTCAATGCGGTAATCAAGACACCAAATCTTGAACATATTCATTATGAAAGGTTTCCTATGTAAGAGTGTAATTTCTCTTAAACTATACGTAAATGCATGCTTGGCACACATGTGAGCATGTGAGATAATGTGTGTCTATGGGAGATGGAAAGTAAACATTTTTAAGTTGAGCGCGAGTGCATGGCAAATCACATTTTGCAGCCAAATTGAGTTTAAGGGCAAAATCGAATTTGTTCAGTCCATGTACTTTCAGATTGATTACAAGGAAACAATAACATTTTCATTTGCTTACCCAATTTCCAGTCATCTAAAGAAAAAGTATGATTTAGAATAACTTTTGTCATTTTATTAGTTATCTACCCACATTACCTCATTTTTTACATATATAAAGTTTACTTTTTGTAAAGCGCAGTTGTCTATTCATCCTGTCAGTATCTTTAAGTAGTTCTCCATAAAGCATCCAAAAACCTATTGTTTACGAAAATCAAGTTTAAAATCTTGTTCTGTGCAATTACACATAACACATGATCTATAATTAGATTATTGGGTCCAATTTTATGTATACGATGAGCAATACAAAGTGAGATCAGTTACCCTGGCACGCCTAATTGCCATATAACCCAATTACCTATAATGCTGGAAATGTTTAAAGCATTTTCAAACATGCAAGAGGATGCTTAAAGAGTGCTTGATGATCAAGCAGGCTCCTATTAGTCTTTGAAGTGGCCATTATGTTGTAACTTAAATAAATACTTCCACCTTGAAAGGCCTTCTAATGGCTTGGTCTCCCCTACATCACACTTAAAGTGGCCTTTGTCCTAATGTTCGGCTTGGTCCTTTTCAATGACGCTGAGCATCAACCACTGGATTCATTTGTGCTTTTTCTCCCCACTTCGTCTGTGCAGTTAAGGGTATTGATGCCTCTTCAGAGCTGGAAAGCTTCTTTGCCAAGAGGAAACTGGATGACAGTGGGGGACATGCAGCGAGCATTGCCGAATACCTGCAGGATACCGTTATCATTTACCCAGAGGACCCAGAGGAGGGTACACGACTGGGCACACCAGAGGCCAATGGACAAGATGAAACTGAAAATGGTAGGCATTAAACTATACATACAAATAGGATCTAACTCGCTAAGCACCAAATGCAATTAGAAATTTGTTTAATAACTTTATTATATTATATTCTCAAAGAGACAAAAAAATTAAAAAATATATAAATTAATGCATTTTTTTTTTTTTTTTATTATTATTATTATTTTTGCAAATTAGGTTGTGTGGACAAAATGCATATATTTAGTTTGTGAAATATTTTTTCTAATGCTATTTGAATGATATAACTGAATAACATGTTTTGCTGTTTCACTTAACTGAATGCAGTGCTTTACCTATCGTTCTCCCATAGCCTCATATGGCAACTGTTTTTCCCACATATGCTGTTTTTTTTTTCTTCAATCCCCCCTCCTTCACTCTGTTCAATTTTGCCCAGATCTGGCACTGAGGACGCCAGATGCCTTTGCCCAACTGTTGACCTGCCCCTACTGTGACCGGGGCTACAAGCGGCTGACCTCCCTAAAGGAGCACATCAAGTACCGACATGAGAAAAACGATGAGAGCTTCCCCTGTCCCCTGTGCAGTGACACCTTCGCCTACCGCACCCAGCTAGAGCGCCATATGGCCACACATAAGCCTGCCAGAGATCAGGTGAGATGAGGCCCACCTCAATCCGAACCCACACTCATTACTTCCTCATGCTTTTTTTTTAATATTATAGAAGTCATTGTGAAAGATGCTGCATCTTTCATTCTGAGCCTGTTTACTTGTCCGACGAGAACATGTTTCAGCCTGTTGATAGCTCCAGTATTGAACAAGCTCCTCCGGAAGCTCCTTAATACTTGAATCCTTCACACCGGAGCCACAGCTGTGCACTGTCATACTCCGCTGAGTGTCCGCCCACAGCTGGCCATGTGTGGGCTGTTCTAGCACATTGAGTCCTATAGGCCTGCCGACTTCTCACATCAGCTGTTGGAAAGGAGTCAATTCAAAAGATGCAGGGAAAGCTGATGTTATTTCTGCCTTTTAGGCTGGTCTCAACATGAGCATGCTGTGAAAAATGCAGTGATATGGAATTATTTTGAAAAGGAAACTCTATATTGCTTTATTACTAGAGGAAAAAGTCTGTTTTTGATGTGGTAAAAGGGCTCTCAGTTGCTTGATAGGATTATAGCAGGATATCCTGCATTTAGGCTTTCAACTTTGAACCTTAAGCAGACTTGGGCATGTTGGAAAATAATTTGGAATACTTGCCTTGCACGCTCATCTTACTGGCTGAATCAGACTCACACATATGCACACATGCACACACATATGTGCACCTCTTCAGACTGAATTAAACACGAGCAGATGGCTTTTTCCCGGTGATCTAGAGTATCCTAATCCTTAAATGACTTTAAGTGTTTGTTTATTTGCTCTAAAGAGGTATTTTCCTGAAGGCTTTGAACATTATTCTTAGGTTCACCTTGCTAGGTTTAGTTTTACATTTCATCACGTGTATATATTTGCATACACTCATACAGAAAATGGAAACCCCAATACACATCTTAAACTGGCCTATGTGCATGAGTATGACTGAACTTTTGAAGAAAGAACTCACAGTACTGTACACAGTGACTATTAAACATGCACTTGTGGACACCCACACATTTTTCACAGACCTTTTGTGTCTGTGTGTGGGGTGCAGGGTGAATGCTGTTGTTTTTGTTGTGCATCTGCGGCCCACATTTGAATTTCAAATGGAGGAAGAGCACCTACGTTTAACTTTGGATTGTGAATACAGATGCAGCCTACACTGTTTTAACTAAACCCAGACAACAACTGTTTAAAGTATTCAGATAGTAGTTGAACGAATAAGGTACTAGAGATAAAAGGCACCACCAATTCATCATGTAAACTTTATGCAGAAATCCAAAAAAAAGAATCTGAATAACTGTTGCTTCAGTAACTGTGGACCAGAGGCGGACAGTAACTAAGTACATTTACTTGAGTATACTTCTGTACTTTTACTTAAGTAAAAATCTGTCTTTACAACTTTTACTTGTAATGGAGTAATATTTGACCAGCAGTATCTGTACTTTCACTCAAGTAATGGAGTTGAGTACTTTGTCCGCCTCTGCTGTGGACACACATACCTAAATACAATTGGGTATCTGTTTTCTGTGTTTAATTAATCAATATAAATAAATAAATATTTATTTCAGCATCAGAATGAATTATATACCCTTTTGTGACTGTTTTCTACCTGTATCAATTTCTGTAATCTTTCTCTCCTTTGCAGCCTCAACTGCTAAACGAAGGTGCTGGTAACCGCAAATTCAAATGCACAGAGTGTGGCAAAGCCTTCAAATATAAGCATCATTTGAAGGAGCACCTCCGCATTCACAGTGGTAAGTGTTTCTTTGAATAATATGTTAAGAGCCTCCTTTCATAAGTGGCCGTGAAAAGAATGCCAATAATGTATATAATCTTATTTCTTATGTCTCCAGTTTACCTAATGGTAATTCAGTGTGGTTTGGATAGTCTGGATAGATGATGAATATTTAAAGCCATAATTATATAATTATGCACAAATTATTTTTTATTGTAGGATCTCATCATCCTATCAATCATTAAATTGATTGATGGGATGGGGAAAGAAGTTTAAAGCAATTATAAAGTAATTTAATAGGTAAAATATGTAAAAGAACATCACTTTATTTTTGTATTTGAATAATCAAAGTATCTCTTTTATTTATTTTTTTTAAGGTGAAAAGCCATATGAGTGCCCCAACTGCAAGAAACGCTTCTCCCACTCTGGCTCCTACAGCTCCCACATAAGTAGCAAGAAGTGCATTGGCCTTATCTCTATTAATGGACGGGTACGCCATGGAGTCAACAGCAAGCCTGGCTCATCACCAAATTCTGCTGCATCCTCCCCTGGCAGTCCTGCCTTAGCTCAGCTCCGTCACAAACTGGAGAACGGCAGGTCCATGAGCCTCCAAGACCCATCTGCTCACACAGACATCAAGTCAGAGCCCATGGACTTCAATGAATACCGTCTAATGATTGCGTCTCAACAAGAATATGGTGGGTCAGGAGCCTTTCTCAATGGTGGTGGTCATGGAGGTAGTCCTCCGGGGATGCACGGTTCATCTCAGAACCCCCAGCAACATCTGGGCATTGGGTCGGATTCTCATCCATTGAGCTATACAGGGTTCCTCAACAACATGTGTGAGGTTCAGAAGGTTCTTCAGATTGTGGACAACACAGTTTGCCGGCAGAAGATTGATGGCAACCCTGAAGAGATCTCTAAGCTCAGAGCATACATGAAGGAATTAGGCTCCCAGATGGAGGAGCAGAATCGGGTACTGGCCTCCCAGCAAGGCTTCCTTGGTGTTGGTCACAACAGTCCCACCAAGACCATCATTGACTACACCCTGGAAAAAGTGAATGAAGCCAAAGCGTGTCTCCAGAGTTTAACAGAAGATTCTAAGAGACGGGCTGTAGATATCAAAAAAGAAAGACCCAGCCACGCCATGGATCTTCTATCTGAAGATAAAGCACAGGAGAGGGATGCGCAGTACACACCATTCTCATGTCAGTACTGCAAGGAGACGTTTTCTGGCCCTATTCCATTACATCAACACGAGCGATATCTCTGCAAGATGAACGAGGAGATCAAGGCTGTCCTCAAACCTAATGATACTGTACCAACTGGCCACAGGGGCATTAGGAAGACCAATGAAAAGCCGCTTGACTCTGTGGACCACTTGAGAGGTGAGACACCCTCACCTTTGAATCTCTCATCATCATCATCCAAACACTCACATAGCAGTTTGTACACCCCTAACAGCCTCGCCTCTGAGGATGCCCATGGGGAACCACTGGACTTGTCTTTGCCAAAACAAGTTTCCAAGGCAGAACGGAGGCCAAAACCGAATGACTTTTCTGTTGACCACAATATCAACTCCTTTGCACGTGAACCAGGAGCAGAGCCTTTAAATCTGGCCCACATCAAGAAGGAGTTCAATGGGCCCAACAGTTTGGGCAATGAAAATCAGCTGGAGAAAAGCTCGAGCCCTATCTTTAGCATAAACCCTTTTGGTGGCGGGCACATGTACACCTCGCTTCCTCCTCATGGAGCATTCCCTCCTCCTACTTTCATGTCTACGGCTCAAGCCAGCATCCCGGGACTCAGGCCCTACCCAGGGTTGGATCCCATGAGTTTCCTTCCACCTATGGCTTATACTTACGCGGCAGGGGCAGCCACTTTTGCTGAGATGCAGCAACGCCGGAAGTACCAGCGGAAACCAGGCTTCCAGGTAAATTAAATGTTTTGGTCCCAGGAAAAAATAATTCCCAGTGCATTCCTTTTTTGTCTTAACTCTTTAAACGTGATAAATCACATTCAGAATGAATGTTATCATGCTTTTTGCCAAAGTGTGATTTATTTAAATAACTAAATAATAATAAAAGTATCTTTAAATTATAAAAGGTTATTACTTCCTAAAATGTTGTCCACAGAATGTCCTTGCTCTGTTACATACATGAATTCATACTACTTTGTTTACTAAGCTGAGAGAACCCATGTAAGTCAAGCCATATGTCCCTCTTTTTGAGACATCTTCTAGTGATAAAGGCTTATACAGGTTACAGAGATAAGCTCTGTCCAGACTTGGGATCAAACTTGGGGCAGGGGCTGTCTCTTCCTAGGTGGCAGGTTAGGATTAGGATTTGTAGCAGGTTAGGGTTGCGTCAAATGTGTCTAAAATATGTTTCTTTTGCAGGGGGAGCTACTGGACAGTGCAGGGGACTATCTGTCAGGGCTAGAGGACCTGACAGACAGCGAGTCGCTGCTCGCCCGGAAGAAGATTAAGAAGACTGAAAGTGGTATGTACGCGTGTGACTTGTGCGACAAAACATTCCAGAAGACCAGTTCCCTCCTAAGACACAAATATGAGCACACAGGTATATCACATTTAGACAATTCTTTTTTTTTTTACCCTCGTCCATCCCCCCTCCAAGTAATCCCCTTTTACCACATTGTGTTTTTTTCTTGTTTCTCTCATTCCTTTCCTGCTTTAATTTTTTTTCATACCTACTTTTTTTCTGTCCATTGCCATATTTTTGTTGTACATTTCAAACCCATGACAAAGGTGTAAAGGTTTTCTTCCTTTTGACAGGCTCAAAGGGGAAACATTTTAAAATTAGCAGGTGACACCAATGGTATTTACAGCTATAATCCAGCTAAAATGTACAAAAATAGTTTCCATTTTAAATGGCAAACGCACACACAACCATTTCTCATATACGCGTTTTGTACAATGAACCACAAAAACAATCTCACATAGCTTTTAATTTGAGCATTTGGACCACCAGTCGATATGGAGACACATTGTCAGTGCAGTTTTGTTGGCAAGCCAACATGGCGCAGTATGCCAGGTGTGTGAAAGCCTGATGTGTGCGTGGCATTTCTACGCCACAATGTGACCTACCCTCCTGGGGGACTCTCTTTCACACGTTTGCATCATCCTCACTTACATTCTTTGGTCGGAATGCATAGAGGAATCCACTGTCTCGTCTATTTTTGAACTTGATGAGGGGAGGTGGGGAAGGGGACCATCTCAAGTATTGCTGCTATGGAAGGTGTTGCAGGCATGCCAGGGCTATTCATGGCCAAGAATATAGTACATCTGTTCATATGCTTGGTGCTTATGGCGAGTGTGTGGGTTTTTATGGCAAGAATGTTACTGGTGGAATGACTGAATGCCAAATGGCATGTCCCTCCTACTTCACTGATTAGAGTAGAATTCATTTCCTATTTTCTGAAAGTAAACAACGTGAGCCAAGTTGGCAAAAGAGGAAGGTGTGCGTGAGGTGAGGTGTTTGGTGTATGCGTTACACAAGGCATCACGAGTCAAATGTCTTATCTTAGCATTTTCAATCCCGAGACATGATGTCATAAACTCTGTCAGGGATGCTGACTGCCTCACTTTCACCTTGTGCGGCATGGAGCGATAATCACCTGATCTTCTTGGCTGCATTCAGAACAGTCACAGACAGCCTCAGAATAGCACCTCAGGACTGTGGCTTCCCCCTCACCTACCTGCACTGTTTTGGTAACATCTAAAATAAACCGGTGAGGTTTGTCGCTACTCGATATGAAGGGGTTTTCAGTTAGGACTTTTTTTTTTAACTTTTTTTTTTACCCAAACTAATCCCTAACATGAAGAAAAAACGTTTTTTTTTTTTTTTTTATATATAATTCAATCATAAGGTACAAGTAAGGAGGGATATTTGTGTTTACTTGAAAGATGTGTCTTAGCAATATGTACTTAATATGTTTTACCTTACATTTGATGGTAATGCAAACAATGTATTGAAATATATTTGAAGTTTGTGCATCCTCCACATAAGTTGCTTTTTATAGCTTTAAGATGTTATGGATGCTGAGCTAACCTGTTGGCTCCTCTCTCTTTGTGTCTCTGCAGGAAAGCGGCCTCACCAGTGCCAGATTTGCAAGAAGGCCTTCAAACACAAGCACCACCTCATCGAGCACTCACGCCTACATTCAGGCGAGAAACCCTACCAGTGCGACAAATGTGGCAAGCGCTTCTCCCATTCTGGCTCTTACTCGCAGCACATGAACCACCGATATTCCTACTGCAAACGGGAGGCGGAGGAGCGCGAGGCCGCCAAACAAGATAACCACGACAATGACGGACCCTTGGAGCCCACAGAGCTCCTCATGCGTCGGGCTTACTTTCAAGGCCTCGGGCCGCTGGGCTTTTCGGATCCAGAGGACCAGACCGAGGACATCACACGAGAAAACACCATCTTGAGAGAGGGTTCTGAGGGCAGCGCCAGGGAGGCAGAGGAGGCATATCCGGAAGTGACTGACAGGCAAGAGACAAGGTTGGCTGACGAAGAGGAAATGGAGACTGAGGGCCAGAGATTTTACACTCGGAGCCCTGATGGGACAGCAAAAGATGAGAAAAAGAGCGAAGTAATGGGAGGGACAGAAGACGAGAGCTCGGAAGAGGGGAAAATGGTGAGCAAAAGAAATCCTGACGGCAAGAATGAGGATGCTGATTAACTACTGCATTTTGGAATAGCTTCCTGTATTCTATGTTTTCTTTTTCCCTCAAGCTTGCATCGCGCCCTTCTTCCACCCTTTTGAAGGGACTTTGAGCCAGATTCTCATTTGTACCACACTGCCACGTCTTGGTTATCTGAGCGTGCGCCTGAGGCTTGCACTCATCGATATAAAGAGTGGAACTCCAAAATCAGGCATCAGAAACTAGGCTGGAACATGAAGGAATCCATATTATGCAAAAATACAAGTGGTAACGATTGTCAGAATACAAATAAAAGAAAGGTTTTTAAAATGTACAGAGTTTGCAGCCAGAAAGCTGTGCGGTGCTGATTTCCGTATAACTCCTGTGTTTCATTGTGGTCATAGCACAAGCCTGGAAATTGCACTCTGAAAAAAAAGAAAAGGATTACAAAAAAAGGAAAAATAAAAAAACACAAAAAATAAAATGAACAAAAAAACTCTTAGGTAAAAAAGCATTGCCTATATGTACTTATGCTGCGCTTGAAGACGCAGTAGTGTGTCAGTGTTATATTTCATTATCACTTACTGTGATACCCTTGGTTTTACCTTTCTTTTCCTGACTAGCCATCCAAGTTTTGGCGTCTCACCATGGCTTTTTTTTATGAAGCGACTTTAACTCAATAATACCTATATGATTCTTAAATGTACAAAGTCTTAAAGTTGGCCAGGGGTGGATGGAAAGAGTTTGGGTAACTGTAATGACGAAGGCTCATTGTATGAGGCGACGTCAGAACCCCTGTGTTTTTTTCGTTCGAGAAAAGCCTTATATGCAAACCCTTCCACCTGTGTTTTCTGCAAGTGCCATCCTTGTACAGTATAAAGCGAAGTCAACTAGTGTTCTCTTTGCACCTGCTTTAGTATTAAACAAAATATTTCACCTTGTTGTTTGAAATACCTACGTCAGTATTAGTATATCTAGACTGCAGTTGTTTAGTTTACATATTGTTTGTGCAATTTTCTGTATTTTTTTAAGATCATCTGTCAGTATTATCTTGGTTTGTTTTGTTTTGTTCAATACAAAATTCATTTTTATTTTAAACTACCATTTTATTTATGTGACTCATTTTATATTTCCTAATTATATTTATTTCATACTGTAGTGTACAGTATTATAGTTCCTTGATATAGATATATTTTAGTAAATAAGGATCCTTACAAGTGGAGCAAATTTTACGTAAAGAGAGCATTTATTGTATCTGGAGCGATTGCTGTGAATTGCTCATCATACTACACTTACCTGATGAAGGAGAATCTACAATTTGGGAACTTTTGATACAATATTGTGAAAACACTGTATTTTTGACTGAAAGGAAAAAAAATCCACTTTATTCATCTTATTTGTTTTTCCTTTTTTCCCTTTTTTAGCTACAGAAATAAAGGGGGGCTGTGGTTGTTGGGATTTTTTGAAATGTCTGTTGAAATATAATTTAATTTTTAATTTGTAATTTCTCTTGAAAATGACCTTGCTCGAATAAATGTAGCCCAATTTAATTTTGAAAACCTGTGTAACATCTCACTTAACAAGTCACTTCAATTTCCTCACAGTCTGACAGATTTGAACACTTTTAATTTATTATTTTAAATACAAAATAATAATTCCCATATATCCAGGGGGAAAAAATTCAAATAGTTGGCAGTTTAGTATATTTAATGTATGCGTGTGTGTGTGTGTGTGTGTGTGTGTGTGTGTGTGTAATAAGTAGTGTCATCCATATTATAAATCACCTCCATAAACTGGAGAAAAATAGCTATCAAACATCAGACTTTAATATTCCCCGGTATCATTTTCTGTGCTGTCATTTAATGAATTATTGGAACCTTTACCTTTTGATGTGGATTACACATAGCAATATAATCCACCTTATCAAAGTCTCTCACAGTATGATAGCCTTCTATTAGTCTCTTTGAAGTTGAATGATGTTGGGTTGCGCTAAATTAACATCAGCCGCAGGCTGCCAAACTGGCTGTGAAGTCTCGACGTTGGAACTCTAAGGAGTTCCATTAACCATGACCTTGCTAATTTTCTCAACTCACATACTCATCTCAAGTTTAATTTTCAAGGAACTATTCAAGACACTTTTCTCCCGCAGGGATGTACAGTCCATTTCATTTTAGAAGCTAAGGTACCTGTATAAAAGAGCCCTAAAATTGAATTGCATAGTATGCATAAGCTACATTCTTTTGCAATACACACGTTCTCTGCTGTACAAAGTTTGATGGGTAATGTATAATTTGGAAAATAAATGCATACGTAGGAAAACCACTTAAATGTGTATATGTTCTGACACTGAATGATAATATTTGGGACACTTTCCATGAAACAATATGGTAACTATAAAATGCAGATTAAATTCAGTGAAGCAGCAGTTTAATTGATCTGGTCTGAGACTGTAGCTGTAGTTGTTTCCATTCAGGTGATTATCTGAAGGGACTGTTGTGAATGCTGTTGACCACACTGTACTTTACCTACACTGACCTCTGCACACAAATCACTTATTAAACACAAATCGAAATAAATAAAAGACTCAGTACATTTATGACATTTATATTTTAAATATATTAAAATAACTGAACTGACAGCAATTAATGAGACATGCTATATATGCAGGTTCAGTGAAAAATTTAAACCAGGGGGGGGAAATGGTTAT